TCTGTTTCTGTTTTTGTTGTTGTTGTTGTTTTTGGTTTTGGTTTTGTTTTTTTTTTTTAAGAAATAAGATTGTGAGGTCTTTACTAATTATAAAAGCAATGCAAGATTGTTGCCAAAGATATTTGAAAACTATATGAGCACTAAGAAGAAAATAAATCCTGCGTAATCCTGGCCACAGATGGCTACATTTTAATACAACATTTTCAAGGATTTCCTAGGCCAGGCAGTCTATTTTTGAGTTATGTATCTCAACTAAATGGTTTAATAATATTGATTGTGATTTTGTATGAGGTAAATGGACTTTGTATTTCTTTCCTAACTAGAATATGCATATCTGTACCAGTACGTATTTTACCTGAAAATGAGTATGTGGTTTCCTCCAAGGAATTCTGATTTAAGGTGTTATGAAGCCATTCCTGTGTTTGTGTACATTTGTGTACTGTAGGTCAGCTTGCTTATGAAGAGATACTAGAACTACATGTGAGACAACAATGTAGATTAACTTTAGATTTTTAAAGTCTCTCTGTCTTTTGTGGTGTGGATTAATGAAAACATTACTAAAAAACACTTGGCTTTTGCTGCAAACTTTGAAGTTCTCATTATGGTAAAAGTTCTGTTGTAGTGGCTTCCACCTACTTTGTGGAAAAACTGTTGCTACGATAAGACACCATGACTAAGAGAGTATTTGGGCTTGTGGTACCAGAGGAGTAAGAGTCCAGTATGGTGGGAAAACGTGGCTTATAGCTGCAGGCCTAGCGCTGGAGCAGTGAACTCTTAGCCTAAGAGTTCACATCTTGAACCATACCCAGAACAAACCAGAAATGACATGAGTATTTAAGTCCTCAAAGCTGCTTCAGGTACATACTTCCTCCAACAAGGCCATTCCTCCTAAACCTCAAATAACAGCACCACCTGGGAAGTGTATGCAGTGTATGAGCCTATGGGGGGCATTCTCATTCAAACCACCACAAAAAGAAATTAAACTTGGTTGTTGCGTGCCTGTGGAGGCTATCTCACGTGAGAAGACAACGTTTAGAACTCACATCTATCGTTACTGCTTACCTAATGCTCTTAACCACCAAACTCACAAGGTGTGATCACATCATTTTAGAAATATGTAAAGAGAAACAACAAACTTCCTGGCATAGTGATTATCACCTGCAGATGGCTTAAAATTAACATATTGAATTCACTCCAGAAACACCATGTGAGCTGTGAAATGCAGTGCAGATGTACAGTGAAATTTCATGGCAATACTTGGTATATGAGTATAAATACCCAGATAATAAGATACTAGTCAACAAATGCAAAGTGAAATGGGACTTAACAGCTTAGTTTAAATGTCCTATGTAAGTGTGACGTTAAAGAGAATTTAATGTGAGCACAGTGAAGCCTGTCTACTTATTTATATGTTGAGTATTTGAAAATGATGTGTAAACATGTGCCCAAATACAGATGGCCTGGAGTTGGATTTAACACTTGGAATCTGATTATCAGGGAAGGTAATGTCAGCATAAATGTAAACTTTATTTATTTTTTATTTTTTTTAAAGGTTTACTTTATGTATTCACCATTGCTCTCTTCAGACATACCAGAAGAGAGCATCAGATCCCATTAAAGATGGTTGTGAGCCACCATGTGGTTTCTGGGATTTGAACTCAGAACCTCTGGAAGAGCAGTTAGTGCTCTTAACCACTGAGCCATCTCTCCAGCCCTATTTTTTTTTTATAAAAACATGAAAAATTCAAGTTAACTTCCTGTGGCTTTTTGGTGTTATTCCTGGTTGACTTTTTAATTTTTTTTTTAATGAGCTTCCACTTCATGCACACAGAAATAAACATGAGAATCTGTGAACCTTAAGAAGGACCATCACTTTTACCTTTAAGGGTTGTGTCTTTGCTGGTGCCTTGTCTGGTCATTGAGTAGTCAATATGTATTTTTGGTTCTTTAGCAACCAGCCACCCAGAGCACTGTTATTCTCTTGCCTTGAGTTACTCAAACCTGTAGTTTTAATTTGTTCTTATAAAGAATATATTTGGTCATATCAGTACGTATAAAGACATCAAAAAGTCATTTAATTCTTAACATGTTACTGATACAATTTTGTAAGTATGATTATATCATGTGAAGTTTCATGTTGTCTGACCATTTTCTGGATAATTTTTCACTCAGAGCAGAAACATGGTATAGCATAAAGGAAATAAGAGCTTCTAGTTTATATTTCCCCAATATTTCAACTGTGGTTGAACTTGCCTGGTAATTCTCCAGGTCAGTTGGTACCTACAAATCCCGTTCTTCCTCCTCCCCTTTGTGTAGGAAAGCTACTACAGGCACTAGCCAGCTGCTCTTCTGAGCTCCACTTAGCTCCTCTTCAGTTAACAGGTCTTACTTCCTTAATACAGATCGATACACATGTAAGGCACACACATGCATGCACATATGCACAGAAGAGTAAGAACTTTTAAAGTAGTCGTCTTCATTTTCTTCACTTCTGTTTCGGTGAACTCAGGGCTTTGGGGAACTGAGTAATAACTTCTGTAAAAATGCTTGGAGACCACTTTCTAATATATTAGCCAAGCATTATGGTCCCCTGGTAAAATATGCTAATAGAAGCCTCTTTCAGATACTGTTGCTTGCTGGTTAGCTCGGTTAGTGTAGTATTCATAAACACAGACCATTTTCAGATACTCTGAAGGTTGCATACAATTCATCCTTTACAATGGAATATTCCATAGTGTGCCTGTTTTACTTGTGTGAATGTCTGACCCTGATGTCTTCTACAGATGCAGGTTACATGATACATCTATCCAGTTGTACATATTTTTTTTTTACATCTATTCATTTTTTTTTAAATCCTGTAAACAAAGAACTCTAGTAATTCAATAGAAAATATTTATTTTTTCACGGTTTGCTTTTTTGCATTCTGTTCCTTCTGGCATTTATTTGCTGCCAAGTGATCTCCTATTTATACTTTTATAACTTAACCAAAACATAATCTGTGAAGCTCTGCCTGGCTGCTAGTTGTAAGTGCGCCTTTGCCTAAGCACCAGCGCCCCCTGTCTGCTTGTAGGAGCATCTCGTCATGGGGCCTGACTGGGTTTCAGCACATTGAATTTGAAGCCTAGTAGGGACATTTTGAATTGGTTCAGGCAAATCAAGAAAATTGATAAGAGAGTCTTTTCAAAACTGTAAAATATGTAATCTATTGCTTGTGCGACTGCTCTTTTTGGGGAGGGGTCATAAAATGTTAACATTGATCAGTCTTTATCAACATAAATGGTCAATCTTACTAGTTAGAATTTTTGGTTAAAAGGCCGAGTTCTTAGGGCAGTGGCCTATATCTGCTTAATATGAGCAAAGGGCCTCAAGGTTCATGCCCAACACTGTAAAACAAACAAAAAAGAATATTGATTATGTCCAGTAACAGAGATACAATCACAAGTTAAACAAAGTCAAAATGGGTCAGTTAGTCAAGGTGCTTAGTGAAGCAGATGCTGAGTGTGCTGCACAGTGGCTCCTCTATCAGTAAGGATCCACCCCTTACCTCATCATCCCACCATGTATCACATTCACCTTGGGGTCACAATGGCTCCTTCCTTCAAATCTGCTACACGCTGCCTACAAAGAAGAAGGAAAGATAACGGATAAAACAGTCTGTTTCTCTCTTCTCAAGTCCACAGCCAAGATATTGTATGTCCTACTTCTTAGGAACTAGATGTAGGCCATGTGCAATTGCCAGAGAAATTGTAATACATTTTTTTATGGGAGGCACCAAGAATGGGAAAGAGATTGTATGCTCTGAACCTTCATCTTTAAGGGAAGAGCAAATGCTAGAGGACAGCTGACAGTCTGCTTCGTCACCCTATGAGGATGAGTTATGTAGAAACACAGACGCATGTAAAAAGGAGGGGACAGGAAGCTTCAGCCTATACTTGCTTGTACAGTTTCTCCTTTTTCATCTGGGCCAGATTTGGTCACATCTTTACTTCTGTTGAAATGTTTCCCCTAAACTCTGAGGATATTCCTTTACTTTGAAATTGATGATGTGTTAGCCAATATTTTTTTTTCACTGATAATAGTGACAACTTATGCTCTCTCACTGACAAGTGCATGCACCATCTCTGGAGTTGATCTTCGACTTGTATGTCCACATAGAACACTTTGCTGCGGAAAGTCTTCATGACCTTTTGCTTCAGAATATTTCCATGAAAAACAATCTTTTATCAAATGCTGTCATTTTAATTGGTGGTTGATATTATTCAAGATAAACGGCTTAGAATGCCTACACTTAGCAAGCATTTCAACTACTTGTGTTGCTTAGAGAACCAGTATGAGCTGAGCTAAGACTTAACCGTGAGGTCATCTTGACAAAGATTGCACTTTAACTTTTCTTGAAGAATAGTATCCTCCAAAAGAGTTTGGTGGTTGCCTGTGCTGACATTGTGTGTCTTTGGCCGGTGATTATAAAGTTGCTAAATTGCACACATGGTCACTAGAGGCCACAGATGATTTCGGGTGTGTTTTACTCACAGTTGTGGACCACAGAAGAAATGAATGCGCTTGATATTTACTCACATCTTACTTGCTGGCATTCTCTTCCCCAAAGCCTTTAGAAAAGATGACTTGAGCCCTTAAGATGAGAATGCTTAAACCAGCTTGGTAGGCAGGATGTTGTTACGTGTGATAACATTTAGTCTTTTCTGGGAAGGACTAAAGAGATGTCCACTTACCATCGAGCCCTAGTTATTTGAAGGTGCCCGTGCCAGCCTTACTTTTCAGACAAGGCTAATCTTAGCCACGTTCACTGAAAACCTTCCTAGTGCATTCTCTTTATGTACTCCTAAAACAGTATAATTATACAGAGTGTATAAGATAAGCCTCTCTCAATAGAATGGTGGCTGGCTTCGTGAGTCCCTTCTCTTTGGTGTGTGTGGGTGTCCTTCACTCTTTTGTGGCTTCTGTCCTCAGCCATCACTAATGTTTTGTTTTCTCTGTTTCAGGTGACACGCTTGGTGCTGCCTGGCATGGTAGAAAGGTGAGTCACATGCTCACACACAAACACCGTGCTCGCAGAGCTCATTATTATTTATAGGGAGAATCCTTTCTTTGAGAATTTCATTAAAGTGACTAATGAACCTAACTCTGTCTTAGCACCAGGCGAGTCACACAGTGGAGCATGAGTCATTGGTGGAGGAGGCCTTTTTCCACTAGACTTTTTTTATTTCCCTCTCTAGGGTTGTGGTGGTTCCTTTAGATCAGGATTAAAAAGCCAGCCTGAGTCACCATCACTAACTCAATTGCCTGCTATTCTGAGGGGGTGGATAGAGTTCCTGGGATATTCCTGGGAATGCCTCCTTAAAGCTGTAGCTACTTAGAGCCTAAATCGGTGTAATGTCCTGAAACTATGTGCCTTCCTGTGGTATTTTCATTCTTGCTGGGGGAATGGATGCATGAGGGACTAAGGCATGATGTGAATTCACCAAATGTCAAACAAACTCTGGGAGGAAAGGGCCAGTTGAAATTAGGGCCAGTAGAATACCCCAAATGTCTTCATTTTGTTGAGAAATTTGTGGTTGCATTTCCACATGTGAGGTAGTACTGAGTGTAAAATATAACTAAACTCTGTTTCCTTCTCAGAAGAATCTAAACATTGCTTAAGCCTTCAAAGAAAACCTGCCAAAGAGAGCTGGGTTTGGATGTTGGACCAGTTTGTTATTTTAATTTTGAGCTCCGTCAAAGCTTTGATAGGGGGGGAATCAAGTATCCACTTCTGTTAAAAAGACCAGGAAGGAATGTATTCTATGCATATGGAATCCACCCGTATGTTCTGCCTCATTCTACTGTGTGGAATGTGAGGAATGGGGCTCAGAAGTCCATTTTTTAATCATGTACAGTGATTGAGAAATTTTTTTCAGCAAAATTTGTTGTTAGTCTATTTTACATGTACTGATTTGTAGATTCTAATTGCCTTATTTTAGTAAAGTTTCCCTTTAAAGCCTTCAAGCTGAGTATTGACTGATGGGGAAGGGGTGTGCTCTGATGATAGGACATAAATTGGCAGTGGTCAAACCAGTGGTCATACCAGAACTCTAGGACTAGGGACAGAGTAGAGTTCAATAAGGATGATATTTGGGTCACTGTCTTAATCTGAGTTTTGACATCTGCAAATGGCATTATAAAGAAATCTTTGGACTTGGGGTAGGTGCTCAGTATTACATCATTGGCATTACTAGCATGCCATGGGTTCCATCCACCAATTAAACAAAACAAGAAGTCTAAGCTGTAAGCTGTAGAAGTATTATGAAAGAATTTTTTTTAAGTTTGTTGGTGAAAACTATGTAAAAGGAGCAGGAAGTATTGGATGCATAGAATGCCCAGCCCAGTGCACTCAGTTCTTTGAAAGTAACCCCACCCCCTTTAGCTTAGTGAGATGAGATGCTGTGAAGTGCATGATGCAGAAGTAGAGCTACACCCAGCAGCACCACACCAGCCAGAGCTGACACTGGGTATAAAGGAACAGTGTGAAGGAGAATTCATGCTTAGCCAGCAGAACCAAGCTTGGAGAATCCACATGAGTTCAGTCCTTGTGGTTCAAGAAATCCAAGTTGATTTTAAACTGAGGTTGAGAAATGGCCTGGTAGAAAGCCACTAGAAGCTGTGGAAAGCTGGAATCGTAGGAAAATTGAGGGGTTACTAAGGACTAGTTAGACATATATGTAGAGTTTATTAATTAGTAATTTGTGTTAAGGAAGAGATGTGTATGTCCAATGGAGCTTTAGGACTTATTAGGTATATTAGTCAAGGTGTGCTAACTGCACTAATGGATTAATCCTACCTTCATGGCTTATCAAGTTAAGGATTTATTTTCTTCTTATTTCTCTACCTTGTCCTTGAGGAATCTCAGGTTCCTTCCATCTATGGGTTCTGGCATAAATCTTTAAGGTCTTATCTTAAGAAAGAGTTCTTAACTCAGCTAACAGGTAAAGGAAGAGAATCAGGATGATGTTAGGGGAGGTTCCGTGGGTTGGCCCTGGGAGGAGTATATATCACATTCTGTTGTCTAGAACTCCACCTGTCATAAGCTGCAACTTACTGCAAGGGAGGTCAGCAATGCTAGTTGTTTGCCAAAAAGAAGGAAAAGCTCCAGGTGAATAGATGTCTGGAAGTGGTCATACTTACCCCCTGTAAGTGACTTCATTCTCGCTGTTCTCTACACCTCCCCACAGTGACCTATTTATATGGTAGTTTCCGTAGGATTGGTATTCTCATTGAGTAACAGCAGTGTCCTTTAGAAAGAGCCTTTGTTATTGGTTTCTTCTCCCCCTACCCCCCCCCACCGCCCTTTCAGTGATTCTGTCATTGATGTATGAGATTTTTCCAAACATTCTAAAACTATAGCCAACTAACTATCACTAAACAAGTACCAATAATCAGACTAAGGTATTATCACCGTACATATAGAAAGTGCATAATTACATTATCGGGAAACTTGCTCTCTCTACTTCCTTGGAATTATAAACATTGTGTACAGCTGGAGCCAGGAGGTGGTTGCCATAACAACCGTGGAAGGGCTAAAAATAGCCTCTTTCATATTGTACTGCTTAAGGTGGAATTATGACATGTTATGGCGTTTTAGGGCAGGTAATTTTTTCTTGTGCTAAATGTTTGCAAACTTTATTCAACAAAGCAATATTTGTATAGTGTGAGAATTTGATTGCTGGTTCTAATTGTATGCCTGACCCCATGTTCCATGATTCCTCCTCTGACATTGAACACTGTTTTGATAGTTTCTCTGTGTTCTTAAGAGTCAATTAGAGAACTGTCTACACCAATTTCCGTTTTCCCTCTAAGCCTAGAAAACTCTCTAATGACCCTGCAAGAGTGCACTTCTGTCGTCTCTCATGTGTAGTGGAAATGTAAAGAACTGAGATGGAGTCTGTCTCAGAGCTCTGTCTGGTTAGCACTCTGCACTGACTGACCTCTGGCTCCCCTCCCTTCTCTCCTCTGCTGCAGGGTGGGGCAATGCTGAGGTTTTCTGAGTCAGACCAGAATCAGTGACTTCTTTCAAGAGACACTATTATTCCCCCAGGACAACAGTATTTCTATAGAGGTGGGGACAGGGATGCTACAAGAGCCCAGCAGAAGAGAGAGGCATTTGTAGAACAAAAGCTTGGCAATTTTTAAAAATCCAGGTGACAATTAAAGGGAGCCTCATGGGGAGTTGTCCAAACCTAAGAGAATCCTAGAGAGCATAGCTGCAAGGGAACTGTAAACAAAAGCTGAGTTGTACAGGGCTGGACAAGCCTATTGATTGGCTTCTGGGAGGACAAATACAGGAAGTGTCTGTGGAGGTGAAGAGGCGTGTCCTGAAGTGAAGCTGATTGTTCTGCTTTGTTTCTTCAGCATTTTAGTTCTGGTAGATCCTCAATAATCTGTACCTCCAAGTCAACCATCAAGTGATGGCTAGAAAGTAAGCAGTGAGATCAGTTATGAATACTGCATCACAAAAAAAAATGTTGCTTTATTTGTTGACCTGATGTTGTCACAACTAACTAGCAAATGTGCTGAATTATGAGTAACATGGGTCTTCAATAACAGAACTTCAGCAGAAATTCTTAATGTGCTCCCATTGTTCCCAAGCCTCCAGAAAATGAGAGGTTAACCAGCTTGGCTTATGTTTGTCTCTGTGTGCAATTAAGCATAGCCTATTTTGCCCTTCTGCTTGATATAACAGAGTTGTCATGAGCCTGGCTGTGCCATGGAAACTGTTTGACGTCACTAATTCTGCTTAGATGGAGGATTAGAGCTAGACAAAGTAGTTGATTGTAAAGATGAGTCCTTTGCGGCCCCAGGTCCAAATGTTCACCCTATTTCCACGTAAGGAGATACATTATAGGGATTATTGCAGGGCGTACTAGTATTCAATTTGGGATACAGACAAAATAGAATATTTTTTCCTTAGAGACGATAGATCTGAATGCTATTTTGGGAGGGGTCAGAGAAAGGTCTGTGATAGACACATATGCATGTTTTCAATAGCAGGACAGATTGGTAGGTGGGGTGTTTGCTGCCAGTTAGATACATTTAAAAGTGTTCTCATTTTATATAGCACTTTGACAGTCTTAAATTTTATGTTTTGATGTAATTTTTGACTTAGTTCTATCTACTAGTAATTTTTTTCTCTTTTTCTTCTTCTTTTGGATTTTTATTTATATTTAATTTATATGTAAGGATATGCTTCCCATATGTAAGCCTGTACACCTCATGTAGCCAGAAAAAGGCATTGATTCTTTAGCACTGGAGTTACAGGTAGCTGTGAGCTACCGTGTGGTCTTTGTAAGAACAACCAGTGTGCAATTTCTCCAGCTCCTAGAAATTTTCAGTCAAGAGTAGAATATTTGAGAAACAGAGATCTTTGTTACCTCAAGAAGTAAATAAATAAAAGAATGACTGCATCACTGTGACATGTTGGATTGTTGCTATTATTTTGTAAAATGAAAAAAGAGCTTTATTGTCTTTAAGTGACTTTTCCACTGTTGAAGTTATAGAACTAAACTTTAACCTTTACCTTCAACTTTATATTTCATTTGTGAGTAACAGAAAGAAAAATGTGACTTTTGTTCAAGGGCATATGCAGCCACTCAAGCTAGCATGATTGTAATGGAACAGTCTGGCTCTAAGCAGTGGTGGCAGGCTGCAGCTTCAGGGACTACATTGCTTGCATCTACCTCAGACAGGCTCTCTCTGTCCTTACACTTGACAGTAGGGCAGCTCCTGGCTAAAGGTTAATACAGAGTGATTGTGAGGTTGGACTTGCTCCTCAGGAAGCTTGATTTGCCAGAGTAGCCACAGCCCTGTGCATCCACCTCATTGGGTGTTCTGATAGGGTATTGGGTGCCCTAATAAAAATTGATTTTTCTTTTATTTTAAGATTTGTTAGCTTATTTTACATGCTGTAAACTACATACCTGTGCAGTTCAGTCATTTTCAGCATATTTAGAGTTGGACGCTGTCAGTACAGTTTAATTGGGCAATATTTTCAGCACCTAAAATGATAATTTTTAAATGTTGTTTTTATTCAGTTTTTACCAAAGGAATACTCTTTGATTGTAATAAAAAATTGTTCTGTTTCACTTTCTTCAAAGAAATTTTTATAGGTGTCTAATTTACCTCTTTTTTTTTTTTTATCTAAAAGGGCTGGGTTCTAACTCCTGATAAAAATTATTATTATCATTTTTTGCCTTAGAAAAAAGATACCAATATAAGTATGATAGAACTAATATTAGCCACTTCTAATTTTAAAATTTCTTAATGGCATTTTTAAATTTGAAATTTTATTTTGATCACCAAGATGTTAGTAGGTTTCACTGCTTAGGAAAGTGTGTATTACTAATAAGGACTTCCGTTTTATAAACAACTGACTAGACTCCTGTGATACCCTTGAAGCAGAGGGCTCAGACTTCCCTTTGATGGTTGCAGTGGGGATCGCGCTAAAGGCTGGCAGATGGAGTGATGGCCATGCAGTGTTATTTCTTTTCAGATGTATTTCTAAAACAACTCATATGCTATTTAGTCGTGTTTCCTGTGCTGTTTTATGTAAAAGGGTTCTGGGTTCTTTCTCCTTCCCTAAATAGTGAAAAGCAAACAAAACAAAAAGAGGGCTTAGGACTAGAAATCCAGAAAGAGAATGACAACAGACTGCAGAAGGAAAGGAAGCTGAGGAGTGAACCAGAGGTGCCTGGGCCAGATTTTAGTGTTTGGGAAAGAGGGCTGGGCTGAGGCATAGGACAGTCGTAGAGCACTTGCCTGGTACAAGACCTGCACTCCGTTCCCAGTGCTGTTAAAAAGAAAAAGTACTGGTGTGCCTTGAGAAGCGTGAGTTTGAGAGAACAAGTTGGTAGCTAGTTTTCATATTTCTAAAGTCATAATTCTACATCTTGCTCAACCTCTGTATGCTTTCTAAAACTTGGGTGTTTACTACATTGCTTTTCACAAACTGATTTTTATTTATTTGTGGAAGCAGAAATTTCCGGTAGTTGCCTGACTTATTTCAGTAATCTCTAAAAGTCACAGGAAAAAGTTGAACTTTGTCTGTTGGCATCGTAGTAGTTAATGAAGTACAGATGCTTGTAATTTTCAAGTCGGTTCTTTGCCCAAATACTCACAAGCCAGGGAAGTTATAAGGATGGTACCCATTGCTATAAAGGTTTATGAAAGACCTGACTGCATGTGAACAAAGGTGAAAAGTCTGGTGACTAGGGCTCAGGACTGTGTTGAGAGGGAAGTGTTTACACACACTGTTGGAGTGGACAGCAGGATGATGAGTCAGAGCAGACTCTGTGTCTGTCGGGGTTAGGTGGCTTTTACTCTGCAGACATTGACTGCAATGCATGTACATACAAAGCAAGCATTCTACCACTGAAATATTTCCCCACCATCTAAATAGGGATTTCTGATTCTGTGGCCACAGAGGACCCTAGAAAGTACAGAGACACTAAAGGAGACTATCCAGCTGATCCAGTCATGCATTGGATTACTAAGACTGGAAAATGAGCTCATCGTAAAGAAAGCTATTTTTAGTTCATTGAATTATGCTTCATTCACCGACCAGACATACCAAATGCTCATGAGAGGCAGGGAGATGCGCGTTAGATCAGCAGCTCTGCTGCTCTGTTTCTATCTTGACTGGAGTTCACAAGCAAATGTGCATGTGATTTCCCTCAGTTTGTGTGATGTGTTTTCAATTCCAGATCTAAAGGGGTGATTCTCAACATCTCCTCTGCCAGTGGCATGCTCCCGGTTCCACTGTTGACAATCTACTCTGCAACCAAGGTGACCAAGCACTGCAGTAAATGATGTCAACATAAGCGGGAGGGGTGATTTTCAGTCTGGGCATTAACTTTGTTGAAATGCTATGCTTGGTAGTTTGTAGTCAACTGAGGGCAGGTAGATGGCCTACATGGGTTTCTGGAGTGTCACAGATGAAAATAGATTTACAAGTGGAGTGCCAGTGTGTCACAGCCACTGATGGTCTGGTTTTTGGTCCCTGGTAGTTTACTGATTTTAACAGGGACACTTATGCTTTCCATAGAGACCTAGCCTAAGCCAGTCCACCCAGTTGGTTAGAACCTGATATTAATGGGCCTAAGGTGAGAATGTTGGTAACATGAACATAACCTTCACATAGCAAGGAAGTACATCCTGGCAGTACCACAGACATTCTCAGCAGACAAGAAGTAGACCAATGGAGTGAATGTCTGCCATCTTATCTAGAATTCTCAGACACTGTCATGCCTAGAGTATGACAGAAATTTCCCAGAACTCTCTGTCATCACACAACACTGTTATTCACATCCTCACATTAGTGCTAGGCTAGTAATTCAGACTGCATCTTCTCCCGTCTGTGGGCCAGGCACTCCAACTTCAGTTACTTCACTGAGACGTGAAAACATTTCTGAAGAAGGATCATTTTAGTTGTTGAAATTAAGCAAACCTTTAGGGGAAAATAAGTAAATCACAATACATAATAGGAATGTATACATCAGAGAAGGAAAAGTACAAAACACACCTTTTCATTGAGCAAATTCAGTCATTACTGTCTTCTGAGTCCTGAATAGCCCCACAGCCCCCTGATTTTCTTGGTGGCTGAAACATACTATCAACATGCTTAATCAACATCTTGTGTTAGGATTCCAGTATCTGGAAATCTCCATGGAGGTTGACTCTTGCCAGTGGAGACATTCATTGGGTTGTCATTGATCTTGGCATTTTAAGCCTGATACTGAGTCTGCATTGGAAAAAAGGCCACATGGTTTCCAGGCAATTTTACAGTTGCATTATCAGATGGGCTCTCACCCTCACTTCTCAGACCAAGCTCACAGGACCCAGCAGCAAAACAGAACTGAGCAGAATTCACTCTGGGTTTCTCTTGGAGTGACAAATAGAAAGTGGAATTAAATTGTTTGTTATATAATGAAAAAATTTTTTTTCTTTTCTTTGGAAAATAGTTTGGAAGGAGGCTTTTCTCATTAAGCCAAAAATTGGGAAATGTTATTTTTGGTAAGATAATGTCATTTGTAGCAGAAAAGCCTCCTGAGATTTTAAAGTGTTTTTATCTCTTCTGCATTTGAAGTGAAAGGAATGACTAGAAACAGTAGTGTTAAATGGTTAATTTATTATTTTGTTGTTTCCATGGCTACACACCAGGCAGACTGATGTAATAGATGTGTTTTCTTTCTCACCCCACCTCCCTCCCAGGCCTTTGTAGATTTCTTCTCTCAGTGCCTCCATGAGGAGTATAAGAGCAAGGGCATCTTTGTGCAGGTAAGTGGAGTTTGTTTCAGTTAAGTATCCCTGGTTTTGTGTGGTTTCCACAGCAACAGTTGCTGTCTTGGCAACGAAAGAAAATCACATTCCTCAGTAAGCGATTGTGACGTGAGCACTCCCTTAGAGACATGGTTTCTTTTCCCTCATGCTTTTAGGTCTAGATTTTTAAAAATTAGCCCCTCAAATTTTTAACTAGGATAACTGAACTAGAACTAAATGTATACAGTTGAAACATCATTATTGTAAATGCTCACAGTTTATTCTGAGACAATCCGACTCTTTAAAATTATGGTAGAAAATACATAACACAGAACTTAGGTTGTCGAGATATCTGCATGCAGCTCAGGGGCATGAGTGTACTCACCGTTGAACAGTCACTGCTGCCATTCTTCTGGGACTTTCCTTCACCTCCCCAAACCGAAACTGAACACCATTAAACGCTAACTTTCCCTTCTCTTTCCCCAGCCCTTGGCAAGGACCATTCTATTTTCTTTCTCCCCACAGTTACCTGTTCTTAGTCCATCCTATGAATAGAATCCTTCAGTGTTTGGTCTTCTAACTGAGCAGATCACTTAGTATAGTGTCTTAGGCTCATTTCATATGGCACAACGTGGGGGTTATGGTTAAAGACAGTTAACCCATTTTTCCCAGGATGGTCCGGGATTCAAATCCAGATCCATTTGCTATTAGAGTACTTGTTCCTACCACTAGGCTACTGAACCCATTGTGCCCAGGAAATAATGAAGCCAGAAGGTGCTAGGCTGCTTGTGGCCCCTCTAGTTTATACATGTAGATAATCTAGCTGTATTTTCTAAATCTTTTTATTTTCAGTAGTATTGGAGCTAAGTTACCCATCATGAGGAAGGCATCTTTAGGGTCCACAAAAAGCTTGCTTCTTCCAATCCCTTTCCTTAGCTTACTTCCTAGAAGTATCTACTAACTGCTTATTTGGTGTTGCTTAATTTTCAGCTCCTTGCTTTTATAGGCTATATCTGGGAAGACAGGGTTTTGTAGACTCTTGTATTTTATGCCTATGATGATACCATTTGTAGTGCTGGTAACTGGAATCCCCCTTAGATTGGATATTGGTAACAAGGAAGCCAGGTAACATGGTAGGAGGTAAGGCTTCTGTGTGTTACACTGTTGTCTTTCTGGTGAGTCTGTTATGTTAGTCATTTTTAAGCCCCAGTGAGGCTCAGCATGAACTCTAAAGGTCCACTGGAAGGTACCCTGGAGGCTGGCTGGAAACTGCCCTTGTTTCAGTGCCACGGAGTAGTTAGCATTGCTGTGTGAACATGGAAGCATTCCTGGTAGTATCCGAGCCTGTCCCTTCTCTCATTTCATAGTGTTTTCCTCAAAGGAAGTTTTCTTGGATTCTCTGCCTGATGTTAACCTGATGACTAGAAACCATCCACAAGCACATTAGTATTTGCCTTCTGAAATATTTTATTTTGGTGATCTTGTATTGTTTCCATTAGTAAATTTTAAAGTATTTAAGTTCATCCATCATTGTCTTTCTTACTAAGATTCACTTGAGGTCTAAATTAAGAATGAATTACTAAGAAAAGGAAAATTCATATTTATGAAGAAAAACTGTGGCTGTCCTACTGGGAAAATAAATCCCAGGATACTAAGTAGAGCAGAGAGCCCATGTTGAGCTGAAACTTACCTGCTTTTCTCTGGGTGGTGTTTCTGTCTTCCAGATTCCGGACCGGGAGGGGGTTGAGTGGCTTGCTCCACCTTCTATTTCGTCCCATAGTTCTTGGGTCATCTCATTAACACACACATCAAGTAACCTGGTTAACACAGACTGCTACTGGTGACTTCTCTCACTGGCCTCAGGTGGCTGTGCCTGAAGCTTAGTATTGAGTTCAGACCCCGTGTTCTTGCTACTTATGTTCAGGCTGGAACGGACTGTGTATTGTCCTCTGTGTGCACTGCCCTGTGAAGTGCCCATGACTCATTTTCACAGCGTTTCCTCAAAGCTAGTTTCCTTGGATCTCTGCCTGCTGTTAACCTGATATGACTAGAAGCCACTCCATAGTACCTCGTCAGGACTGTTCCACATTGCCCCCAAGCTCCTTTTGTCCCTGAGCACTGGAAGTCAGTCCATCTTCAACACTCAGGTTCCAGTTCATCTTCCCTGAGTCCATATCTCAGGCCTTACACGCTGGATTACGATTTTCCTTCTTCCCTGAGCCTCACATGCTTCTGTGTGCTGCTGCTGGGTCTGCTCACCAAGTGGCTTTTTTTTAGTTTATTTTCTTAGAGCGTATATTACAGTATAGACCAGGCTGGCCTTGACCTCAGAAAGTACCTGCCTCTGCCTCCTGAGTGCTGGGTAAAAGCCATACACCACCACTCCCAGGTTGCAATGTGTTCCTGAACAAAGCTGTTTACCAAAGTGTAGCATTGCTAATGTTCGTGTTCTCTCTCTCTCTCTCTCTCTTTCTCTCTCTCTCTCTCTCTCTCTCTCTCTCTCTCTCTCTCTCTCGCTCTCTCTCCCTCTCTCTCCCTCTCTCCTCCCCCCCCCCATTGAAGACCTATGGGGAAAAGCAAAAGGAATTTATGCATGCATCCTTCAAAGACCGAAACTCACATGAAATCTGTGTGAGGAGAATGGGCCCTAGTCTGCTGTGTGCTCTCTAACAGTCAATAAATGCTGAGGAAGTGAGGAATAGCCAGGGCCAACTCAGCTCCCACAGTCCTCTTGGTTTTCTTCCTAAGTCATTTTTATTTAGAGATCACTTTGCCGAAGATTCATTAGTGCACGTCTGAAAAGTAAGTTCTTAGATAACTACACTAGAGTTAACAGCGTGAGGTTCAGTGCTGATAGAATGTTATTGATTAGATCATCTGTGCTCACTGTTTACCTGTTCACTTACTTACTTACTTACTTACTTACTTACTTACTTACTTTCTAGCATCACCATACCCAGTCTGAAACAGTCTTTACAGTTTCCTTTTGTTTTCTGGTACTGAGGATTGACTGTAGAACCTCTAGGCAAGTACCAGACAAGTGCTGTGCTACTGAGCTATGCTCCCAGACATCTCTACAGTAATGTTTTATTCTCCAGCAAAGCATTTGGTCTAGAATTCAGTATTCCATTCTCCTATTTCTTGTGTTTCTTTCAATCTGGACTCTGTCGCTCTGTTATGCCACTGATGTTTTAGAAGAGCACAGCACTCCTTCTCACTCTTCTGTCTTGAGCATCCCTCATTTAGGGCTTATCTGACACATGCTTGTAGTTAGATTCGGGTTATGCTTTTTCATACTGCTATGTCCTTCGTAGGTTGTCATATGGGAAGACAGGAGTCTCTTTCTGTTGCACTAGTAAGCCATCAGTGGGGAGACTCCTTAAAACATACAAATATCCTACTTCCTTAGACAGTTTACCTTAAATTTAACACCCTATATGCTTTCTTCACAAGCTTCCCATATGAAGAGATAGTCCATCTGGATTTTAGTCGTTTCAAAGCCATAGTCGAGATGAAAGCATGAAGACTTCAGTCTCCCTTGGTCCAGTCTAGTTTTCTGTAAACCTCATTGTCTGTGTTCTTAGAGACAGTGAGGGACAGACGCTGAGTTCAGCGTCAACAGACCAGGAATTCTGCTGTCACCTGTTAGTAGTCATCTGACCTGTGCAAAATTTCTCTGTGGCTTTGATCCTTAATTCCTGAATCCTGAAGGCAAATGAGATGAATGATGTGACATATATAACTGGGACATCAGAACTGGGAAGTGATCGTATAGAGATAGTATGGAGAAGAGAGACGAGAAACAGAAGCAGCATGCAGTATGGAGCACCTACAGCTGCCCCATGCTCACTCACTAGTACCTCATTTGAGTTGATATTAACCTGACCCCATGTCCCAGACTCGAAAATAAAAATTAACAGTTGTATGTCTTGCCTAAAGTCAGGGAGTATCTCCATTTGTCAGAAGTGAGGCAACAAAAGGTAAGACTCAAGATCCCTGCCTCAAGGCACAAGAGAGAGTAAACAGATATTTAAACACACCACCAATCAGTGGACCCTAAACGAGAGGCCTATGTATTATGTTTCACATTTCTCCAGTTAGGATGTGTGTAGAGTGTAGTTTTTGGTATGCTAGTTTGGAGTATGGTAGCAAGAAAGGCAGACAGTGAACAAGAAACAGGAGTACAGTGACCCCCTATAGTGACAGTGCTGAATGTCAGCAGGTGGAGAAAGGACAGGCTTATATAACTCCAAGGCTGAAGGTCTGCCGTCCGTCAGATCACTAAGCAGAATCAAGTCTATTCTGAAGATGTGTCCAGTCTGGCTACATCTCATGACATTACTGCTACTACCTTAATCTCAGGCGCCAGCCATTGTGTCTTACTCTGGACCATTTCTCTATCTGGCCTCCTAGGCTAGATAATCAGCTTGCCATTTAACTCAGCCAGAGTCATTTGGGAAGAGGGAACCTCAGTTGAGAAAAGGCCCCCACCAGATTGGCCCATAGGGCATTTTCTTGATTGATGGAAGGAGGGAGGGAGGGAGGGAGGGAGGGAGGGAGGGAGGGCACCTCACAGTCGGTGGTGCTTTAAGAAAACAGGCTGAGCAAATGATGAGAAGCAAGCCAATAAACAATGTTCTTCCATGGCTTATGCTTCAGTTCCTGACTTCAGGTTCCTGCCCTATTTAATTTCCTATCCTGACTTTCCCAGATGATGGACTGACTATAACTGTAAGCTGAGATAAACCCTTTCCTCCCCAAGTTACTTATGGCCATGGTGTTTAACACAGCAATAGTATCACTAACTAGAACACCCCACTACTGCTGTCTTTGCTGATAGGCCCTCGTGTCTGCTCATTGTAGCCAGAGCTAATAAAGCAAACTCCAGTCATTTCACTTCCCTGCTTAAAATTCCACCAAAGCATCTCATGTCTTCAGATTAAAACTCTTGAGTTTTATGACCCATGGTGCTTTGATTTCCACCCTTGGCTGTTCACCTCATTTTAAAAGGCTCTGCAATCAGATGTCTCTGGGCTAGCTTCCGTCCTTTCTGTCAGAACATTACTTATATATGACCTTATCTAAGCCTAATTGCAGAAATAGTCTCTATCGTCAGTGCTCTTTGCCCACCTCCCTCTGTAAAATCAGAATCTGTTTTTTACATGATTATATCCCAAGTATCTAAACATCTTCTAGGATACATTGAAATTAATTGTTAGATTGGGAGATTGTGTAGTTTCAGTTTCCCTTTTTTTTCCCTGATAATACTAACATACATATTCCATATGTTTGAATGCAAGTTCTTTGTAGGATCAGTAGTCACCCAAAAGAGTTCTTGTAACCCCTGAGTTAATCAAGAGGCTTTTATGGAAAGACTCATAGTCTGCAGGTAGAGGACTGCAAGCAGCAGAGCTGTAATGTACATGTTTAGTCAGCCATATGCTTGGGAGGACTTCAGATCCTAAGTGAAGGAGAAGGAAGACACAGACTTAAAAGAAGTCAAGTTTCCCTAAACTCATAGAACCACAGCCTTTGCCTTAAAAATGTATGCAGGCTGGAGAGATAGCTCAGTCAGTGTGAAGGAAAGCTGGGCGTGTGCCTCTGACCCCAGCTCTGGAGAAGGAAGGAAAGGCAAACAGGTTCCTGAAGCCTGCTGGCCAGCTTCAGAATCAACAAGTCCTAAAAATATAAGTTTTTTTTTAATGTCCTAAAAAAATAAAGGTGGAAAGTGATCAAAGAAAGACTCCTGAAAATACACCCATCTAATAAGTACATACATAACATACACACACACACACACACACACACACACACACACACACCTTGGAAAAGAAAGAAAACAAAGCAAACAACTGTGTGCTGACTATTGTCAGCCTAATGCTGAAACTGCCCTGTAGTTGGCTTTGCCTTGCTCTTTACTTTGCTGGACCAGAAGGAAGATGGGGAATCGAGGAGGGACCAAGTGAATCTAGAGAAGGGCACATTAACAAGATTAGATGCCACGGGTAGAGTCTTGTTAAAAAGAGCAAAGCCTGCAACTCCTTGATCCACATTTTCTTCAAGCATTATCACGGAAAGGTCTGATCGACAGGATATTTACTTCATAGCTGGCTCTGCCAAGTTCTAAGACTCAGCGTTTGATTCTTTCATGTCTGCCACGTGTCTTCGGGCGTCCTTCTTCCCAGCTGCCATGGCATCCAGTTGTAGTGCCTTCCCTGTGCTGAGTCAAGACTCTACAGCACATCCTCTATGAAGACCATCGTCTAAGCAATCTACTCCCGTGGATAAGAGGAGACCAACATACCGAAGTGTGATCTCTGGGGGCTGTTTTATCTAAGAAGCTGAGCACAGGCATAGCTTCATCAGCTTTTGCCTTATGGCCTAACTAATTATTTCCAGTTTGAGATTCTAAATTTGGAAATCAGGATACTTGCCCACAGCTGTGGCTGTCAGGGTCAGGTTGTTTCTGAGGGGGCAAAACTTGTCATGGTGACTTATCGGGTGTAAGTGACTTTTTAAGTTTTATTGCTTTGAAAACATTTACAGAATGTACAGAAAGGTATAGATTATTTCATATTTGTTTCCCAGAATCCTTTCCTGCATAGGCAGAGGAAATTAATTATTGTTTCTTGGGTGTTTACTTTGATGGCTTTTGACATAAAAGATTAATTTACTTTCTCCATAAACTTCACATATTCCTTTTAATAGCCTTCACAGCTTTCTTTCTTGAGGCAGATGATCTTGCTTAAGTTTCAGAATATTTAAAATGCTGGCTCATTTTAAATGACTAAGGTCCTTAGTACAGTTTAGTGCTCTGCATTGAATTGCTATTCCATACTGCCTTCAGTCCATTCTGCCTTCAGTCAGTTTTCACTGCCCTGCTGTGTGCCTCATGCTGTCCTCTGCACTGAGACTGGAGGTGACATGGCTGTCCTCTTGAGCTTGTGTTAGAGAACTTGCCTAGTGCTTGGGCTTGTTTTCTTTTGCACTATACCGAACTCCTTGCAGTCTCTAAAAATGCCTCGCTGCTCCTCGCTGCTCTTTTCTGCTCCCATTGTTCCTTTATCTCGGTGTCTAGCTGACTCCTCAGCTTTCTTTAGCGCTTATGCCCAAAGCCCTGCCTCCTCTCTGAGCCCGGCATGCTTCAGTAGGCCACTGATGGACACCTTGATTTTATATCCAGGGTAGATGTACTCAACCTTTCAGCTTAGAATTTCCATTTATTAGTTGGGAAAATACAATTTGGCTAGGAATTCCCAAGTACGCATGTCTTTCCCCACCCCCAGTAGCTGGAGGCTTCTTCAAAACCCCACCACAAGCTAGCTGAACCCTAAAGCCATGAGTTATCTTGTGGTGCCACCATGTGGTTCAGTCAGGCAGTGCAACTGAATGCTGTAATATCAAGATAGTCCAATTTATGCTGCTTATGTTTTCTGAATGAGTAGAAAACAAGAAAGAAAAACGAAGCAGAAAATGATAAAGAAAAACTCAAAGCATTCTGCACAAGTGAAAGGCATAGTTACAGACTGGCTTTATCTCTAGAGCTCAAGACTTCCCAGCACCCCTTGTGCACTGTGTTCTCTGGAAAGGCCTTATATATAATCAGAAAGCATGTAGCAAAAAAGATGAGGAGAGCTACACTTGCATGTTGTTCCCTGCTTCCAGAGCTTACACACGTCTGTGCTGCTCACCTCTTTATGTAGTGAACAAACAGCATAACAGTTGGACCCCACAGTTCACAGTCTGTCAACCTGAGACTTCATCAACCTGCCTTCATGATGATGTAGCAAAATGGACAAAAGACTTGACAGAACATCTTTCTCATAAAAAATGATGCACACTAATAGTCCCAATAAATACATCCTCAGATGTCATTACACAGTCACCCCAGCTGCTGGTGTGCTCTGCTGACTAGTGGCTTAGTGTGGGCTTGCCTCCTGTGGGATGAGGAAGGTGGAGGATGGCCCCAGGTAGACTCTGAATTAATGGGTCAAAGGCTCAGCTCTCACAGTAAGGGTGGTGAGCTATATTCTTTGACTTACACTTGAGAGTGAGAAGAGTACAAAATTATGTATGAAAAAAATACACATATAAACAAATCTCCAAAGAGATGTGGGGCTGTTCCTTCCAGTCTCAGCAGTAAAGAAATCCAAAGTGTGGAGAGACCTCAGCCTTATTTGTAGTGAGAGCATTTTCTTCTTTTATTTCAACCACATGTTGAACTGTTCTTTTTTCTTAAATAGCAGTGCTGGTAGACCTCACCCCTTCTTCTCACACTATGAGAGGAACAAGGGTTTGCTGAGCTACTGTACACCTGAAGTCCTTTGTATCACAGAAGAACCTCTCTACCATGACTCCCAGAACTCATTATAATGCAGGTTCTTTGTGTTCTGTGTCGTGTCACAGCCAGACACAGGGTGCATATGCAGGAGAAGGAACCTCGCATTGGTGAAATGCCTGGAAAAGCTCATGTTTAGAGTCACACTTACATCTGTCCTATAAAGTGACTTCTGGTCACCCAGGCTATTTTCTTATTATCTTATTTTCTTATTATCTCTTCCCAAAACAGAAGGAGGCAAAAAAGATGTCCCATGTTAACATTAGCAGTTTATACAACTTCAGGAGCAGGACATTAAAACACCAGGGAAGAGAAGTGGAATGTCACCTGTGAAGGACTAACGTTCATAGAACAAGTGTAATTCATCAGGAATGATGGAGCAGAGTTGTCCCTCCGAGACACCAGAAGCCTCATGCTGCTTGACTGCACAGCAGAGGCCCTCTTGACCAGGATAGGAAGGACATCCCAAGCACCAGCTGCCCATTCCTTTCCTTGTAAAGATTCAGAAATGCTGGCTTATGCTCTGTTTCACTTTCCCAGCCTCCAATTCTATTTTACCCAGAAGTCATCACTGTATGACAGTTCATGTTTTTGCTATTATATGTTCTGTGAAGTTGGTTAGAGCAGCATGATGCTCCCACTTTTCTAAAGATACGAACTCCAGATTTCATGAGGATGCTTCAACTCTCAGCAACAGGCAGGCAGGCATCTCACTCAGTTCTGAGTTGGTAGCCTTCCTAATAAATTGCATGTTTTGTTTCTTTTCTCTTTTTCTCTTTTTGTATGGGGGTGGTTCTTTCTAGAGTGTCCTGCCATACTTTGTAGCTACAAAACTGGCAAAAATACGGAAGCCGACCTTGGATAAACCCTCTGCAGAGACATTTGTGAAATCTGCAATTAAAACAGTAGGTTTGCAGACCCGCACTACCGGCTATGTGATCCACGCTCTCATGGTATGTACATTTCTAAATCTTAGCCATATTTTCCAGTTTGGGCTTTTCTTTCTGTATGATTTGTTAGCATTAAGACATATACTTTCCAGACAAGGTGCTGTACGTCTTTAACCCTAAAAATGACATTTATATTTTATTTCAAACTGTATACCTAAGAACTTTAAAATCTCTGTAACTAATAATGTAGAAAAATGGGAGGTGGCAGATAGGAGTCCCTTAAGTCTAACTCAGTTGTGGGCTGTGCTTATAAATCTCCCCCATTTCTCTCTCTAGGGCTCAATAAACTCAATCTTGCCTCGTTGGATTTATTTTAAAATAACCATGGGTTTCAACAAGTCTTTGAGGAATCGCTATCTGAAGAAAACCAAGAAGAACTAAGTGCTGCTGAGTCACTGAGCCCCTTGGCCGGATGCTTGACCTGTGCCTACACACCAGGCAGTCACCTGCCTGTCCCCAGAGTCTCAGTAATTACTAACATGGCATAGTTGGCAGAAAACAAATTCCTTTTAGAGGCTCCTAACATATATTCTGGATAGAACCAGGAGTAATTTGAAGTCTAATGTAAATGTTCTTGGCAAATGTATGTGGAACACTTTGACAGAAAGGAACAGATAACAGAGGTAGACATAGACCCATCTGGCCCAGAATGCCAATGATCATGTTATGTTTGGTCTGGAACCTACTATAAAGTGTAATGGCTAGCTACTCTTTTATTTTTAGCATTAGTGGGAATGGTGCTTAGTTAACTTGCTGTGGGCAGATACAATGCAGTTTACACCAGTTTCTGTAAGGTTTTCTAAATGTATGTTCCAGTTTACATATTTATATGGAACTGGTCTTCTCAAAAGAAGCTCAGACATGAAGAGAATTGAAACACGGAATTCTTTCTAACACATAAGCCCACAAAATGTTATTCTTGGAACACACATTATGTCTGCTTTATTCAAATGTATGTAAATACTGAATGCTATATAGTGTGACTGAAATGTAAAGGTAAGTGGGCCAAACTGTATGTCAAGACCAACCACATCCTGTGGTGCCTCAAGATCCAGGAAAGCAGCCTGTGTGGATATCCAGTGTTCGTTATATCTACACTGCAACCCATACTACTTGGCTAGGATGACAGACTCATTCTGTGGTAGTAAGGAGTCATAGGAATATGTCCTTTCTAAGTTGGTGTCTCATATATAGAATTCATATATCTGCTTTTAATAAAAGATGTAACCGTGGTGTTGAAATGGAAGTATTTTTTTTTAACTTTTTAATTTAATGTATGTGAGTACACTGCAGCTGTCTTCAGACATACCAGAAGAGGGCATTGGATCCCATTACAGATGGTTGTAAGCCACCGTGCGGTTGCTGGGAATTGAACTCAGGACCTCTGGAAAAGTGAGCGCTCTTAACCACCGAGCCATCTCTCCAGCCCCGAAAGTGTATTCTTGATGGGGGAAAATAAAGCCGCAGTTATACTGCCTTAAAGTAAGCTAAGGCTGACTATAGGTGTCAAAGCATGCACAAAGTAGAGTTAGTTCTGCAAAATGTTCAACTGGACAGTCATTGTATGCATAGGTTTCATTCAATTCCTAGTTTGAAAGACCACCAAATCTACTTAAAATTGAATTAGTTAATTCAATTAACTAATTAATTGAAGTAGTTAAGGTATTTCAAACTACTAGTTTCATAAGCTAGTGAACAACTCCCCTAACCCAAACATATACACATAAAAGAATTGCTGTCTGCTCCTGAAGTCACTATGTCAAACTGTTCTATCCTCAGTTAGGTTGCGCATAATCTCAGAATATAGGATAGCCATTTAAATCAGATACATTTAGCTTTCTGAAAAGTGCCTGTTTGCCCCTTTCCCCTGTCATTTTGCTATAAACTGGTAGCCTGGGTGCTGTCTTCTTTGTGCTTCTACTCTGGCTAGTCTGATAGTTTTGGTTGAGAGATGGTGGGTTCTCACCTATAGGCAAAAAGGGGAAGGATTTCTCTACAAGCATAATATGCTGCAGGGTGCAAAATCTGTTTTCTTGTACCAGTAAGAAGGTAGCTATAATCCTAGCTGGGAGGCCTTTTAGCAGCTTTAAAAATTTCCTGTTCTGGCTTTCTGCTGTAACGTGTCACACGTTCTCTTGTGTTTTACACTCAGTGAAGCCAAGGACAAGAAAACATACATTTCAAGTAAGTGCCTTGAAAGAAAAGTTTTACTAAAACCATGTGCTCAAAGTTATTAACGGTGAAGCATTTTGTAGAGTCACGAAGTTCAGCTTGGTGTTGACAACTTTATATGCTCTATGTTCTCACGCACTAGGTCTCATGTATCCTATGCTGGCCTCAGACTCACTCTATAGCTGAGAATGGCCTTGGTCTTGGAATCCTCCTGCCTCTACTTCATAAGTGCTGGTATTAAAGGTATGGATACCTCCTGGTTCTCTTAAGTTAATTTTTTATACCTTTGTTCTTGATGGTCCTGGAGACTGAACTCAGTCAGTGCCTTACCACTGACCTGTGTCCCTAGCATCACCTGTTTGCTACCAGCCTGGGATAGAGAACAAGACTTTTTTTTTTTTTTTTGAGAATTTCACATATGCACACCATGAACTATGATCATATCTGCCCCCTTTCACTATTTTCCAGCTCTCCCTGCATTCTCTCAACACATCCCATTCCCAACTTCAAGTTTTTATTTTTGCAAGATACTTTAATGTTGCCATTACTAAGACAGTTTTTTTCTTTATTTTTTTCATTTTTATTTTTATTTTGTGTGTATGAGTATTTTGACTGCATGCATGTCAGTGTACCATATATGTGCGTGGTGCCTAAAGAAGCCGGAAGGAGGGTATTAGATCCCATGGAATTGAAGTTACAAACTGCCATGCTGGTGCTGGGAATTAAACCCAGGTCCTTTGGAAAAGCAGCCAGTGCTCTTAACTGCTGAGCTATCTCTCCAGCCCCCATTAAGACAATTTTCTGTTTGTACAACTTGTTGTGCACAAAGACATTTAACCCTACACCACACCCCAACCAAAATGCATGACCTGAATCTGATCAAGAAGTAGCAGGGAAATAAAAGTAACAGAAAAACCTGAGTCAAGGAGTATTCTACAGAATTCTGAGCCTAGCCAGGAGCATGGTTTTGCACACGTGTAATCCCTGCACATGGGCTGCTGAGGCAAGAGGCTCCATGTTCAAGGCCAGCCTGGAGTACGTTCAGAGCTGATGCCTCACGAACCTATATTTATCAAAAGGTTCAAATTTCAAGTGAGGCTGAAGAGATGTGACAGCTGAGTATGTAGTCCTCTGTTGGATCCTCTTCAGTATTCGTTATGTTTTACTTTAACACAAGACCACTGATAAAATTTGAATAAAAGTAAGTAAATTAGCTCCCCAAGTTTGGATAAAGATATTTTGGTAACTTGATTAAAACACCCCTACTTCATCCCCCTTTTAAGTATGCAGTGATATTTTTCAGGGAAAATGGAACATTGTGCAGCTAAATAATCAAAAAACCTACTAAAATACATGAAGAGGGAATGATAGCCCAAAGCCCAGCGTTAACATGTAGAAAGGCTAGCTGAGAATACTTGTGAATTTTTGTACTGGTTGTGATTTTCCTGTAAATCAGGAATTTCAAAATGAAATCTAAGTATCTTCTGTTAACACCCAACTAGCTGCAAACTGATAAGGTCAGGCAGGCTGTTGGTTCCTTTGGCTCAGCCCAGCCACCTGGGAGATGGGAACAGCACCTCTCTCCTGTCTCACAAGCACCAAACAATACCTTTGAAGTACTAGGAACCCAGCCTGGTATAGAGTGTTGCTACTGAACTGTGCTGAATAGCAGCCCTCGGATACTGCCCTACTATGTCACCTTACAAGGAAAGGGTCTTTGCAGATGTGGTTAAGGATCTTGAGAAGGGGAGATGCTGAGGAAGATTATCTGAATGAGCCCTAAGCACAGTCAGAGTATGTGCAGTAAGAGACAATGGTGCTAACAGACAGGGACGGAGGCAGTGAGGCCATGGAAGTAATGACAAGACTACAGTGACAAGACTACAAGCCACAGGTTGCTGGAAGCCACAAGAAGCCAGACAGTTCTTCCCCAGGAATTCTGGAGGACAAAGGATGTGCTAACAACTTAATTTCTGAGTAGTAACACTGGTTTGGGACTTGTGGCCTATTTAGATCATATCCCTCATTATCTTTTTTATGTCTTTCCAGTCCTACGAAACGCCTTCTTCCCAAGTCCCCTCCTAATTTCATGCCTCTCTCTCTCTCTCTCTCTCTCTCTCTCTCTCTCTCTCTCTCTCTCTCTCTCTCTCTCTCTCTCTCTCTCTGTGTGTGTGTGTGTGTGTGTGTGTGTGTTTCCCTTGATTAACTATGATACATACTATGATACATTTCTGTTGTTTTAAGTGACTGGCTTTGTAATCACTTGTTAAACTAGCCCCAGAAAGCTAATACAAGTGGCCATCTATTTCTGCCTACTAGAGACTTTGAATCTTGTTTGTATCCAGGTATGGCCAGTTTTTTCAAATGTCCCAAAGGTACTTAAGAGGGTTTATTTTTCTGTTCTTGTTCAAATAAATGGCCCCCATGTGTGCTCATGCAGGCAACCCTAATTAAACTCAGTGACACACACACAAAGACATAAAATTAGGAGGGGAACCTGGGGAGATGGAGTTCAGTGGGACTGGAAGGGCTTATGAGGAGAATGGAGGATATGATCAAAGTACATTATATGAGGCTTTATTTGGGGAGGAGAGGTTTAAATAACAGTAAGAATGAATGAAAAATTTGCAAGGAGTCATAGAAAGTAGATAATAGTGCTTGTCAGTCTGTTCATATGCATATATAGAGGAAATGGAATTCCCCATCTGGGTTAACTGCTCTTCCCAGAAGCCATAAACTATCTAACAGAACACCCAACACCAGGAGTAAGAAACCTTTGTCCCTAAACATAGGGGTTGTCTGTGATGATCCTAAAACATAGGCTATTGTTATTGTCCTTAGCTCTAGAGGTGAAGGATAAGTCCCTACTGCTGAAGACACCATGAACCTTAGACACAAGACCCAGGGGACCCCAGATGGAGCCAACCTAAAAATGCCCTTCCTGAGGAAAAGCTTTCATGGCTACTAAAGATGCCATGCAAAGGAACCAACAGCTCTCTATTGAAGTTAAGACCTCTCAAGGAGGGAAATCATGCTTGGTACCAGAAACCTGAGCTAGCGAAGGCATGGATCTTGGAAGAGAACTTAGAAATGCCATTTTATGAAAGGAGCACAGTCCTTGACTATATTCTAAATATTTGTTCTTTTACACACAGGTAAGTGTAGTTCTCAGCCCTCAGCAAGGAAACTTCTCTTGGCAACATATGGAGACCATTACAAACTACCACAATTACTCAAAATGCAAAGTTAGTGGGTTCTAGCTCAATCTGATGGGTCTATGACACAACTCCTGCTCCAAAGGCTCTGGGGACATTGCAGAAGAGGGACTGGAAGGAGCGTAAGAGCCAGAGGAACAGGAAGTTGTCTGTGAGAGTGTGTCCATGAAATGTCAAGAGCTACACCATGAATTTTACCAACATGGCTGCCTAAGCAAGACTTGAGAAGGGCACTAATAGCTCCCTGCCTTTGCTGGTCTGGTGGTGTTTAGTATGCTTGTCAGCCATTTTCCTTATTTTTCTCTCAAGTTTGTGTTTAAGTTCTGTCTCTTGTAAGCCAAATAAATCTTCGGCAATTTCATTGGGCAATTTCCACGTACCAAAAGGAGATTCCTTCCATTTGCACTTTAGTATTTCTGTAATGTACTATCATTTTGAGCTATTAATTTCTTTTTTATGTGTAGTACATGCAGGTGTGTGTGTGTGTGTGTGTGTGTGTGTGTGTGTGTGTGTGTAAAATGACCAGCCTGGGGAAGATGGTTCATTCTATAAGGTGCTTGTCTTCCAAACCAAATGTCTGCCCCCTAGAAACTATATAGAAGTGCCCAGCTGTGGTGGCCTGCACCTGTCACCCCAAGGATATATAGGCTCTCTGGTGAGCCCCTCTGCCCAGCCTACTTGGTGAACCCCATGCCGGAGAGAAACCCTGTCTCAAAGATGACGGACAATATTCCTGAGGCTGACACCTGATGTTGTTGGGCCTCTATACACACATTCTCGCCTCACAGGTACATAAAAATAGTTGCTTACCAGTTCCTCACGTTTTCCTTGTCACCCCAGGCCTTTTATTAATT